CAGGCCGTCTTCGAAGGTTCGTGGAGCGGGGATGCCTGGTGTGACATCAGGGTGGGATATGGGCGGGGTCGGTGGGCGAGCAACGACTCGGCACTATCGACGACGAACGACAAGAGGGGTCCCAGAGCTCAAGAACGCAGCTACGTTCGGACCGAGGTGTAAGATCGAGGTCGGTTCGGGGAGGGTACCCTGATGCTCTTCGTGTCTGTTGGACGCTTGTTCTGTGTGTCATGGCTGGCGGAGGGGCCCATGTTCTTAGAGGATGTTTTTCTGTCCTAGGTCCGCCTATGTGCACGAGGATGTCGGTCAGGCCCCCAACCCTCTGGGCCACAGGCTCATAGAACACACAGGGCCCGGTCTCTCCGACACCAGGAACAATCTCTGAGTGCAAGTGCCCGTGGGGCGTGGGAAGTAGGTCTTCTTGGGCTCCTAGATACCAATCTACATTAGGCGCCTTCCTACTTCACGAGTCGATCTTCGTTTTCCTTTTCCATCCTTTTCAGGGGGCGGGCTGAAGCCCAATCTACTTCCAACGCCTTCGTGCTTCATGTTTCGACCCACGTCTTCCGACTGACGGGTATCGCTAGGGGATAAATTTAACAAGTAAGAATCTCTTCGTGTGGGCACTGTTCGGGGAAGTCGCCGACCAGCGTGAGGTGAACGTTCCGCAACAGGAGATCGTTTCTTGCTCCTGGGCGATAGCGGCCGTTACCAGGTGGGGGGGCGTTAAGGTTACGTTTTGCATTGGCGCCGTCCAGGAACTCTTAAGAAGAAGCAGGGAGAGCTCGACTAACAGATACCTAAAGGAATCTGCCACGACAGAGCGCGCATACATGCAGGGATCTGCTATGACAGAACGCTTCCTTCTCCTCCCTCTCCTCCTGTTCTTCCTTCCCCTCCTCCTCGCTGTCGTCGTCGTCGTAGCATTCCTCTTCTCGTCCTCCTCGTTCTCTTCATCATATTGCAAGGTTCTTCGCGCAAGAACAGACGAAGGGGAGAGGGAGTTGGGAGGAGGGAGGGGGCGAGAGGTGGCGCAAGGCCAACGTGACCTGTTTGATTACACTGCTGTTGTTGATTCGTGCCCTGGGAGGGGTCTCCATGTGGTTGGTGCTCGCGGGCCACTGTGGTGCTCGCGGGCGCACGCTCTGCCTTTGCCGAGCGGAGTGTCTCGGATTCGCAGCCTCGTGGCCTTACATTTTGGGCCGTCGGAAATTGGCTGCAACAAGTGCGTCCGAGCAGGGGACCATGTCCGGTGCCGGCCTACTTGGAGCAGCACAGGGACACGGGAGGGATGCTCCCGAAGGACGTGACGTGAGTCGGCCACCGCGCGCCGGAGGAGAGGCACTGGGAGGGGAAGGGCGAAGGGGATGCACCCGAGAGGCCACTTCCCCCCTCCCGGGTCCAAGAGCCGCTACCCCCTCCCGGGTCCAAGAGCCTCACGCCCTCACGCACTCACGCACTCACGCACTCACGCACTCACGCACTCACGCACACACGCTACGTCGCATTTTCGGGGAATCCCGTCTGTCCCTCAGATCGGTTTCTTTTCTTGTGCCTGGCGCGGGGTCGATGCGGACTCACCGCGGATTTGGCGTGGATTCGACGTGGATTCGACGCGGATCGGGGCGCGACGGGACAGTCGAGGTCCCCCGAAGATGCAGCGCAGCACACGCACCCCCGAGAGCACGACCCGATGCTTGCAAGGTGTAGCCAGGCAGGTCGTTGTAGCCTGGCCCTGCCTGCCTGCCTCGCCCCGTCTGTTCTCCCGAGGAAGCACCTTGCAAGACAGTGAATAAGATGATGCTACGACGACCACGCCGACGACGCGACGACGAGGAGGAGGAGGAGGAGGAGGAGGAGGAGGAGGAGGAGGAGGAGGAGGAGGAGGAGGGGGAGGAGGAGGAGGAGGAGGAGGAGGAGGAGGAGAAGTGTGAGGAGGAGGACGAGGAGCAAGAGGATGAGGGGAAGGGAAACGCTCTGCCGTAGCAGATCCCTATATTTGCATGCGCGCAGCCGTTGCAGATCCCTACAGGTATCTGCTATCCGAGCTGTCTCTGGCTATTCCTAAGCATTCCGGGACGGCGCTAGCGCGAAACGTGATGTTACTTGGGGGGTTGGGGGGGGCGCGGGGCCGGTAACGGCCGCTTCACATGATCTTCAGCTCTTATTCTCCCTTCCATGGCCATTTGTGTTCGATACTCTCGAGGTGAGTTCCTCGTTTTCTCACATCGCACCTGAACGTTCATTGCTACACTTCTTGGCTATCGTCGACTCAGCAATGGTTCACGTACTGATCTTTGCGGCGACATCTGCGCTCGCTTACACTGTGGGCGCCGAAGTGCAGCTCATGCAGATGTCAGTGCACGGGCCAGACGGCTTAGAGGCGGCAAAGCTACGGACTGAAGACTTCACGGACCCAGGGCTCCTCAACGTAATTCTTATCATTATATCGCCCGCGGAGCGGGAGTCATTGTGACCCTCCAGGGGGGAATTCTCAAGC